TAGATTGGGACGAGTAAACATGGCGATGGCAGACGAAGCAGATATGGAATTTGTTTCGAATATTAAAGAACTATTTATGAAACAAAATAAGAAGTTATTTTGATCTTTTAAACATAATTATAATGCATGAGTAAGTACAATACCATTTCTAACTTTCTATTTAACAACACTACACCTGTCCTATTCAGGACCCGTGGTCCCAATAGCTTTGAATAAGTTTGCCTTTGTTTTCCAATTTGATGGTGTACAGTAGTGGTCGCCTGTTGTTATCAGGGCCGTTGCAAGAACTTTGCCTCAGGGGGGGGGGGGGGGGGGGGGGGTGAGGTTAGATTTACCTGAATTTATCAAAATTATAGTTTTTACGTGATTTTAGTCACTAATTAATATTACTCCAAAAAAATGTGGGGAGGGAGGTCATCAAAAATTTTCTGGACATACAGTATCAAAATTTTTCCAAAAATACCCAGAATTTTTCCGGACATATCAAATTTTTTTCGAAAATACCTCAAATTTTTCTGGACATATCTAAATTTTAACGAAAATACAAAAAAAATTTCCGGACATACCAAAATTTTCTGAAAAAAACAAAAATTGTTTCCACATATAAAGTTAATTTTCCAAAATTCACTTTCTCATGCCTTGAGTTGAGAATTACCTGGATTTACCTGAAAATCTTCTGCAAATCTACCTGAGTTTACCTAAAAATCTACTGAAAATCTACCTGAAATTGCTCATGAGCAATTATCAGGGGGGTGTTGCACCCCCCACACACACCCTGGTCGCTACGGCCCTGGTTGTTATTACTGTATGTTGCTTACTTTGATGATTCAGGGATGCTATAATGATATATATCTGGATAGTAATTTGATTGGGATGCAGTGGCAGAAATCTTGAGGGGGGGGCGACCCCCCCCCTCCCACCTTTACGGAAAATTGAGAATTTTCGGACATTTTGCCCTAAGGGACCGGTCATAAAGTAGAGGGGGGGGGTGGTCTATGAAAAATTGGGGGTGGGTCACTATTTTTCAACATGCTGAAAAGGGTGGGTCAGGAAAATTTATGCACTGCATTAGGGGTGGGTCAGGTAAAATTATTCACGTCTCACAATTTAATAAATAGCAAATAAAAACTTTTGCGAAATCTCTTTAACCTAAACTTTATATATTAAACAACAGGAATTCACATTTGTATACATTGGGAAGTGTTGTAGCTACCGTAGTCTACTGAATGTACTGTCATGCATTATGTTTGGGCATATAAATCTTTTAATTTATATAGTATACAAAACAAAGCTTCACCATCTCATCTAGGTACATAGTTTTTAAAGTTCACACAACACAAACTCAATCAATGTATCTTTTTCATCTAATGATAATGGTTGTCATCTTCACTATTACCATCAACATGATTTATAGCATCATCGTCATCATCATCATCATCATCATCAGCAGTACTATCATCATCACCACTCTCATCTATATTACTTAATACTGCAGGTGACACAGTTTCTTTTATTATTTCGATTGCTTCCAGTGTGAATTTAGCTTCACTAATCAATTGTTTTAACCAGTGACCATCTCTTATTTTTAAGCTACGAAGGCCAATCATATTACAGTGATCTGAGTCACTCACATCGCCATAAGATAATGATTGAGTAACAACAGAAAACACTCTTTTACAGTTATCTACATTACCTATCTACATTACCGTACAGTACATTATCTACATGACGGGGGGGGTCACTAAGATTTCTGCTCTAATCTAGGGGTGGGCCACCTCAATTTATTGTCACAATTTGGGGGTGGGTCAC